GTGTGTGTGTGTGTGTGTGTGTGTGTGTGTGTGTGTGTGTGTGTGTGATTATTTTCCCCACTGCTACATATATATCACACTCACTCTCTGTAAGCAAGACTTTGCTGGAGTGGGTCAAAGGCCTAGTTCAGAACCATAGCAATAAACGGTGCTGGTGCTTGGGGACAGAATAATCAAACTCTGTCTCACACTGCCCAGCAGGAAAATCAGGTATAACAAGCCACAGGAACAATATTTATTAATGGTATGGCATTTTCCCTAATGTTAACTATAGGGATGAGGAACTTAAAATATGCTTTGCTTTGCTTGACATATCAACAATGTAATTCCTAGGGGGAAGGTAGATGGAGAAGGAACTGGGACACTTAATATGGTTTGAACCTCTTCTTGGTCCATTTACATTTTTTTTTTTTTTTTTTTTTTTGCTTTTTGGTGAGGCAATCAAGGTTAAGTGAGTTGTCCAGGATCACACAGCTATTAAGTGTCAGGTGTCTGAGGCTGGATTTGAACTCTGGTCTTCCTGACTCCAAGGCTGGAGCTCTATCCACTGTAACACCTAGCTGCCCCTGACAATTTTTTTGTGGTTGTTTTGGGCTCCATTTACATTTTTATGCAGGGGATATGCTTTGTTGCTAGCCAGCTTGAAGAAAAAGATCATGTGCTGATCCCACAAATATATACAATGCCTATACATTGGAAACTTCAGTAGGAAGCCACAACTGGCAAGGAAACCGAATCTGGGTGACTGTACAGTCTAGTTAGGCTAACAGAAAACATAGAGAACATTCTTTTAACTAATAAGTTGCTATTTTAAGAGTAGGAGGAGGAAGAGGTAGTATTTAATGTTAGATTAGTGATGGGGTAAAATCAAAACTGTTGGCTAAGCATTATAATTTTTTTTCTATTAAAATAAAGTCAGAGTAGATGGATGATCTCTAGGGTTACTTTCAGTTTTGGAATTATATAAATCTGTGAACATGTGCTGACTTTCACTGTTACTTATGTGAACATGAGCAAGTCATTTAACATCCCAGTACCCTGGCAATTCTCTAAGGCTGTAAATTATAGGCTAGTTGCTGAGCTGCATTAGTGAAGGGAATTTCCTATTATCTCTACATTGGGAGTTCTCCCTATATATAGAATCATTGATCTAGGCCAAAAAACAATACCAGGAAGGCTGAGAAGTGCTATAGGCAAAGACATATCTTAACTAGTACCTCTCTTTCCCTTTTTCTCTTTCCACTTTCTCCTTTTTCCTCCTAGCTGTTCCCTTACCCCCTCTGTCTCTGTTGCACTCACTCTCTCTCTTTCTCTCTCTGAAATTGGGTCCATGTTCTTTAAATTTTTCCATAGTCAGGAGAGATTTTACCTTCCTTGGCAAACTCTTCTAGCTTTTCCTTGTAGTTCTGCAGAAGCTGGATTAAATGTTCTGTGCAGTCCATGATCACCTTTTGTATACCAGAAAGTTTTTCCTTTAATCCGGTATGAACACTGGGGAAAGGACTATCCTCAATATTCTTCTTAAACTTACAGTATTCCTACAGATGGGGACAAAAGAAAGATCAAACAAAACATGTGTTGGCTCAATTACCTCTTGAATTTAACTTCTAGAATTTGGATAGAGTTGATCTATATGAGGCAATAAAGGCTCAGAAAGGTTTTAAAGGGTAACTACTTTTATGTGATTACATAGTTATGAGCCTCTTCCAACTGTCATTACTTCTCTACAGCTACTAAGTGTAGGAGAAGTAAATAAAATTACCCTCTCCAGATAACCCCCCAGAGATTGACTTTAGCAAATATTCTGAAGACAGCTTCTAGTGAACTTCCTTGCTACCCTCATCTTGCCAAACCCTGTTATTGCACCATGAACTTCCCTGACACGTTTCTAACACACAGACCCTCTGTTCCTTAGAAATAGCCCTGCTTTAGGCATGATACCTCCATTTTGTTCTGTATTAACCATTTTGTGGTAAATGACCCCTACTGAACTGCAAGGCCAGCAGCAACTTCAAGTGCTCTACAATGTATCCTTTTTTCTTTTTATCAGTACAAAAAAACTCAGTTGCTAAAGGTAGAGGATTCCAGAGCCCTGGGAAAGTTCTCCCTGTCTGACCTGAAGGTAATTTTCTCTGATTTAGTAAAACTAGCTAAGAGGATAACTCCTTATGTATCTCCTGTAACTAATAACATACATTTTTCTTCAACAAGTACACTACTCATTTTGGCATAAAAAAAGAATGGCTATCTATGTTTTATGGCCATCTTTCTTTTCTTTGTTTCACATAATGATACATTGAATAATGTTTAGTCAATGAATGCTACCCTAAAAAATTGTGTAAAAGGAGCCCCTTACTCCCAGCTTACTGTATATACCTTCTGCCTTGGTATCTACCCTGACTGGCCAGAATAAAGGCTTCTTGCTTCACTCTTTAATTGACTCCTTACTGCTATTATCTGACCCTCAAGAACCCAAACTGGTGAGTATTGATCCTCTTGGGTCCGTCCAAATTTCTACTGCATAAGTTTAGCACTAGTTACAGAGGTATATTGGAGCAAACATTTTGCATAAGTGCATTCCCAGAGGAAAGACTAATGCCTGACATTACTGAAGCTGCCAAAATAAAATGTTATATACTATATTACTTGATTGAATTACCACCAAAAGTTTCAATATTCAGGATTCACTCTAGGATTTATATTGACCATCATGGGAGTGAGCAAGCATCAGTCATATAATGGACATGGACATGCTCATGGGCAATCTCTTTTTTTTTTATTTGAATATTGGAGTTACTTTACTTATTTTTTAAATTTTTTTTTATTTTTTAAATATTTCTCAATTACATTTTTAAAAAATTAACATGATTTTTAAAAAAAAAGTTGAGGTCCAAATTCTCTCCTTCCTGCCCCTCCTCCACCCATTGAAAAGGCAAGCAATATATTGATTATACATGTGAAGACATGCAAAATATATGTCCATATTAGCTACGTTGCAAAAAAAACAAACAAACAAGAAAAATAAAGACAGTCCCTGCCCTTGAGGAGCTCACAATCTAATGGAGGCAACAACAAGCAAGCAAATATGTACAAGCTATATATGGGATAAATAGGAAATAATAGAGGAAAAGCACTAGAATTAGGAATAGAAAGAATCTGGATACAATGTTACCATAAATTATTAAGTAAAATTGCCCTAAAGTTCTAGAACAAGGTAGAAAAAATCTACCATTCACCACCTGAAAGAAATCTCAGAAGTAAAACTTACAAGAATATCATGGCCAAGTTTCAAAACTCTAAGGTTAAGGAGAAAATATTGCAAGCAACAAGAAAAAAAGACAATTTAAATATTGCAGAAATACAGTCAGGATTTCACAAGACCTAGCAGCTTCTACTCTAAAAGACTGTAGGTGTTGGAACATTATATTTCAAAGAGCAAAAGAGTTGGGGTTGCAACCAACTTACCCAGCTGAGTATCATCCTGAATGGAAAAAAATGGACATTGGACAAACTGAAAGACTTTCAGGTATTTATAGCAAAAAGACCAGAACTCAATGGAACATGTCATATAATAAATAAAAAGAAAACATTAAAGACAAATTATAAGGCACTTATTAAGGTCAAACTCTTCACTTATTATATATATGAAAATGTTACCAGTATTCTTAAAACAGTCCTCATTATAGTTTGAAAGAAAGATTGGGGCTAAGTTGTGTATGATAGGGTGATTCTTAAAAACAAAATTAGGTAGGAAAAGGTAAAAGGGAGCAATTATATTATAAAAATGGGACATGAAAGGAAGAACTAATACAGAGGAAACAGGTAGGGGTGCAGGGCTGGTAATACTGGAACCTTACTTTCATCTGGGTCGAAGAAGAAATAGTGTGTACATCTGGAAGGGTGTAGAAGTCTTCTGAACATGTCAGAGAGGTAAGAAAACTAGGGGGGATAGGGGGAGGGACTTTTAGAGGGGTGTATAGATTGGGATTTGGAAGGGTGGAGGGAGAGGATGAGGAGGGGCTTTTGGGATTGGGATTGGGAAAGTGGGGGCAGAAAATAAGGTAACAGAGATAGAGTAAAAAGAGAGGCTGAGAAAGAAAATTAAAGACAAGATGAAGGGAAATTCACAAATAGTAATTATAATGTTGAATGTAAGTGGGATATTTATAGCAGCTCTCTTTGTGGTGGCAAAGAACTGGAAATTGCAAGAGTCTCCATCAATTGGGGAATGGTTGAATAAGTTGTGGTGTATGGTTGTGATGGTATAATACTGTGCTATAAGAAATAATGAGCTCAATGATTTTAGAAAGGCATGGAAAGACTTGCACGAAATGGCGAAGAGTGAAATGAGCAAAACCAAAAGAACATTGTATACAGGAACAGCAATATTGTTTTAAAAACCACTTTGAGTGACTAAGTCATTTTGACTGTTATAAACACACAAATGAAAAATTAAAGACATATGAAGAAAGACACTATCTGCATCCAGAGAAAGAACTGATAAATAGGAGTATGCATAGAATAATTTTACGTATGTGTACCTAATTGTGTCTGATGGTAGCCATCTGTAGGGTGGGATCGGGGGGAGAGAAGGGGAAAAAAAAGAAATTTACATGATAATTTTATTATATATTTAAAAGGAATAGCAAGTTACACATAATAGATTTGCAGTTTCAAATGCAATCATCTTTTTAAAAATTATACTATGTTATAGAAATGCTTGTTTTATTCCATCAATTAAAGATAAAATAATTTTTAAAAAAGAGTGGTTTGATTTAGATATAATACTATAAGCAAATGGGAGAGCAAGGAATAGTTTACCTGTCAGAGTTATGGAGAACGGAAGAATTTATGACCAAACAAGAGATAGAGAACATTATGAAATGCAGAATGGACAATTTTGATTACATCAAGTTGACAAGGTTTTGCACAAACAAAGTCAATGCAACCAAGATTAGGAGGGAAGCAAAGTTAAGAAGAGAATGAGAGGAGAGGAAGTGGAGACAACCTTCTCAAAGTAGACAATAGTAGACAACCAATAGTAGACAACCTTCTTAAAGAATTTAGCCACGAAGATATAAAGAGATATAAAATAATAGTTAATGGGGATGGAAGATTCAAGTAAGAGTTTGTTGAGGATGCATAAGACCTGGTCATGTTTTTAGGAAGTAGGAGAGCAATCAGTAGAAAAGGAGACATTGAAGATCAGTGAGAGAGTGGGGATTACAGAGTGGGTAATCTGTTGGAAGAGATGGGATGAAATGGGTTTGTTTGTGTTGGTAGAAGGGTTTGCCTTGGCAAGAAGTAAGCCATTTCTTCAAGTAAGACAAGAGCAAAAGAGGGGTTAGTGACAAAAAACATCTGAATGATATGAAAAAAGGAAGAAAGAAGAAGGAGCTCTTGATGAATGGCCTCAATTTTTAAAGCAAAGTATGAGACAAGGGTCTCAGCTGAGAGGAGAGGGGGAGGAGGAGCCATAGAGAGTTTGGAGAGGGATGAAAAGGTTTGCAAGAGCCACTTTGGAGAATGGGATACAGAGTTGATAAGAGAGGTGTAGAAGAATTGCCTAGCATCAGTGAGGGCCCAGTTGAAGTTGTGTAACATAAATCTGTAGTGGACTCAATAAGAAGAGTACATGATTTTTTCTACCTTGGTTTGGCAGCACTTGTGTAGGAATGAAGTCATCAGGTGGTGGAAGTGATACAAAGCTAAGGCTTGGCATCATCAGATGTCTTACCTTTCCTGAAGCTATTCTTTGCCTTTACCTGACATCCAATCAATGGAGACTCAATGACTCACTAGTGCCTCAAGGATCAAATATAAACTCTTCTGCTTAGTTTTAAAGTCGTTTGTAACCTGGCCCCATCTGCCTTTCCATTACTCTTCTTCCCATATTCTATGATTCAGTCAAGTGGATTTTTTGCTGTTCCTCACCCATGATAGATCTTAAATCTATCTATGTGTATTTTGTTTGGATCTCCCCCCCCAGCTCATATGCCTACAACATTCCTATCTCACCATTCCCTTTGAAAATCCTTTGTTTGCTTTAAAATTCACTCGAGCAATACTTTCTGCATAAAACCCTTCCTGATTCCTCCAGTTGCTAGTGCCCTCTCCGTGAGAAAAATTGTTTTTTATTTATATACTTTTTTTTTTTACAAGTTGCCTTCCCTAATAGAATGTAAGTTCCTTGAAGGAAGAGACTGTTTCATTTCTATTCTTGAGTCCCCAGCTCCTAGCACAGTGCCCAGTGAGTCAATAAATGAACATTAAGTGCTTACTATGTGCCAGGCCCTGGCCTACATGCTAGGGATATTAAAAAAAAAAAAGACACAAGTCTCCTGCTCTCAAGAAATTCATAGACAATATACAAATAACTATGTACAGACAAGCTATATACATGATAAATTGGAAATAATTAATAGAGGGAGGACACCAGAATTAAGGAATTAGGAATTAGGAAAGGGATTTTAGCTGAGACTTAACAAAACCAGGAGGCAGAAATGAGAAGACATAATTCCAGGCATATAGGCAGCCA